CTTCCCCACACAGCCAGTTCTCAGTGCCCCCTGCCAATACCTACACCTCTGCCTGGAGATAGGTGCCTGCACATGAGATACTGGAAGTAACTGGAATTAACATGCATCTCTCTTCCCAGCAGCCCTCACCCATGACAGGAATTCGTAATTAAATGCTCCCAACTCTCTTGCCCTTTGGGAAGGAGGGACAATTATGAGGCACGTTCTCCACTGTCTCCCAGGGTCTCCGGTGGGGCTGAGTCCCGCAGTGGTAGCCTGAATGGTAAGGCACCCATTCTGTCTGCATATGGCTTGCTGCCTCAGTCCCCACCCTCCTATTGGTGCCCCCCGGGGTCCCTTCCCCAGTGCACAACTTGCATTCAAACCCTCCTCTCAGGGCCTGTTTCTGGGGAAACGCTACCTAATAAAATAGTCACATTCATATCCATTTCCTGCAGCTCATAAGAAAATGGCTTAAGGGTTATAGCTGGCTCTGAGCTCACCATGGCCAGACAGCTCAAAAATTAGCATAATCTTAGGCAGCAATAGAATAATAGTTAAAGAGACTCACAGTATTTGTGCAGTATTATGTTTAGTTCTGGGTGCAACATTTTTAAAGGATATTCAAAAATTGGAATATGACTATGGCCTGATTAGGAGTTTATGAACCTAAGAACAAAGATAACAAAGGAAGTGAAGCTATTTGCCTGGGAGAATAAACCACTAACGGCATGATCACTGCATTCAAGTGGCTGAAGGGAAGTCATGCGCACAGTGGGCTAAATTTGTTCAATCTTTTTCCGGAGGGCAGAACTTTGGGCAAAAGTAAGAAGAAATGCAAATTTTGGCTCTGGAAATTGAACAATGTTCTAACAATGAGAGGTTTCCTGATCAAATGCAAGATCTTAGTCTTTGAGGTATGTAAGCAGAGGGTGAAAATCACCTAAATCCATCCCATTCCTTAAAGGAAACCAGGTCACACATGTAAGCCTCTGTGGTTCTCACCCGAAGCTCATTTTGGTAACCAGCATTTTGTCTTTTGAACTTGCTCTCCCAGGATTCAGGGCTATCTACCTGCTCTCTCTCTTTGCACAGGTGCAGGCAATAGGCGTGTACCCCCAGCCCCTCCCTCTCCCCTACTCCAAGCATCGGTGGCGCCTCACTTGGCCCCTACCTGACAGGAAGAGGAACAGGAGAAAGGGGAATTGAATCCTAACTGGTATTTTCAATGACTTCTAAATTTACTTCCAACTGTATGATTCTATGATGATTTTCCCTTTCAGCCTTTGTGATCCTCTTTCTTAAGTTTTATTCCTCTTGTTTACTCACTTATAAATATTGCCTCCCAAGCTACCTTGAGAAAATCAAGCCAGTTTTTGGTCTAATGGTGTCATGACTTCAACTCCCTAACTAGCCTCGTCCTGTCCCCCATGTTCTCCCAAACCTTGGTGACTGGCTTTGCCTTCCACTTTGTCTAAAGCTACATACTTCGGTAGCAAGGAATCCCCCAGCCCATGCTTTTCCCATAGATGACTAATTGCCGTCCCTTTAATGGGTGCCACTCTGGAGCAATCATGCCTTACCTAGAATTCTCCTGTAGGAGACGCTGTTTCCCACCCCTCGTACTGCCTTGCCAGGCCTCTGGCTGGGCTCAGTGGATGCTGAGTGTTGCCACCCTCTTCTGCAGGCACAGCAGACCTGCTGCCCAGTGGGACAGCTCTCTGATGCCAAAAGGAGAGCTTGTCTTTTCATGGAGGAAACATGTGTTCTTCCAGTTGGCAGAGTTAGGATTATCAGTAGGTGGAAATGTAGACCTCAGGACTCCATAAGGATCCTGAAATAAATCTTCAGAGAACTGAGCTGGGAAGACTATAAGGTGTTGCAACACTCATTTACTTTCTCAACAAACAATTACTGAGTATCTGCTTTATCCTGAAGGCTCAGAAATTAGAAAGAAAAACGGATCTGAAGCAAAAAGGAATTTACAGTCGATTGAGGGAAATTAAAATGTAGTTGGGGATGTGAGTAAAATGCTATGGTAATACAAAAGCGGGGAGCAGGTATAACAGATACCAACTCCTGCATACGATCCTGGACTCTGGAGAGGAAGATGAATTCACGGGCTCTGGACTAGCTGAGGATGGGGGTCGAATCCCTGCTGGGCCATTTACTAGCAGAGAGAATTTGGGCAAGTCACTTCAGTTCTCTAAAACACCCATGTGGCAGTAATACTGGGAAGGTTAAGTGAGAATGAATGCAAATAATCTAGCAAAATGTCTGGCACAGAGTAAATTAATAATGCCTAGCCTCCCTTCTCTTTGATTCTTTCTCAGGATATTCTCTATAGAAATTATCGGGGCAGTTACTTATATATAATTGATGGTCACTGGAGCCCAGCCCCAGCCTCTCCACGTGTCTCCCTTACAGTGAAGCTTCTGGGCTGTCTGGGTGGCAGCCCTAAAACCTACTGTGACATATGGGAGTGCCTTTGGACTACACCCTGAGCCATTTTCATTTTTCTTCCTCTTTTCCTTCACCGTTTCTCACGTTCTCTTCTGAGACACCAAGCTCCCATTTCATAATTTCTCATTCTTTTTTCTGGGCACAATGAAGAACACCCCTTGTGTCTCAGAACCCTGATCCTGGTAATTTCTTCAACATCGGTCTTCTTGTATAGAGCTTGCTCCTACCATCGAAACTCATCATGATCTCATGGGTTTGGCTCTTTGTCCACCATGTTCTCTCTTTGAGTGACACTTGGTAGATGCCTTATCATGCAGGCATCTTATGGCAGAAGATGTGGATAACAGGGGTTTTGAGGACCAGTGGGCTCTCACTGAAATGCAGGGGAAGAGTACTTGGGGTGAGCAAGAGGACATCAAGGTAAGAAAGCAGGTCTTCCTAGAGCATGAGCCAAGGAGAGAAAAGCCTTGTAGGTAAAAATGAAACAAAGGTGGGGAGTTTAAATGCCTCTGTCTCTAGAACTCTGCCAAAGATCCAGGGGTCTGACAAGCCTCACATATTTCATCAAAAAGACAAATGACAGTGTTCGCCATGGCATTGAAAACTTAAATTTTGGATTTCATTCTAAACCGTTAAAGCTTAAGCTACCACCTTCCTCATACTCAAACTGTCCTCCACTCTGTCATCTAGCTGGTCTGTGGACGTTGTGTAGTATTCTCGAGCTTTCTCTTAGAAGTCAGGTTCTGAGCCAAATCAAACCATCGGAATTCTTTCTTATACCCGTCTATTTGTTTTGCTGTAAGTCTTGCAAAGCATAGAGAAGGAACATACACAATTAATAAATAGAAAATATTTATTATACAGCATTGTCAAGATTATTTGACAAAAGGTAGTAACAAGCCAACAAAAACACCTTTACAAGAAGCTAAACAACTTGTATAAGCAAATACATTAAGGTATAAGAGTTTCTGCCCTTTGGGTATAGGGTATGTATATATCCATTTCCAATTTTGAACAATTATGATATAAGAGCTAATACTCTGTCATATTCAGGAAAACTTTTAATCAGGATAAGAGAAGGCATTCAGAGTAATAATGTGACCAGTGTTGAATGTATTCACGAAATGTCTCAAAAACCTCAGAACAAACTGACATATTGTCTGAATAATAAAAGCAGTTTTCCTGATCTATTCTTACTTTCAAAAAATCTGAATGCACAAATCTTGTGATATGAAGGACATATATTACTGGCATCAAGAGAAAAAACATGCTTTCCCTTGTTAGTTTGCCAATTAGAGGACCACCTATTAAGCACTGCCGCCATCCATTTTTTCCATTCTGCCTCATTACCATGAAAATATGGACCTGAAATTCACATTTCAGTCATGAGGTCTTTCTACCAAAGGTGTTAGAAAATAATTTTTTCAAGGAAAGTCAGTCCACTCTTGGTATGAACTGACTAAACTTGGTGTTAGAATATGGGAAGACAGGAGAAGCATGAGTCTCAAACATTGGAGTTGATGTTAAATTCAGAACAAATGAGGCAGTGGGTATTTAAAGATTCTAAGCTGATTTTTGGCTGAGACACCAGCAGCTTCAACATGAAGAGAGCATATTAAAATATGCCTGAACATAAGGCATAAACAAAGATACTTAATGGGGTAAGATTCATTCTACAAATAATAGAAGAAATCAAAACAGCAAGAAAAAGCTCTTTTATTGGGGGGTAAAAAAAGGGAAGGCCAAAATGAAACAACTGAATTGCACCTACATGGATATTGCACCCAGCAAAACAACAAAAATATAAAGAAAAGCTATGACAGTGAAAATATAAGAATAAGGATACATGGAAATAAAAATTTTTTAAAAAAGCAAAAAAGTGATGAATAAATAATTTGAGAAATTATGAGCAGTCTTAGAAGTTAGTATATGCTTTAAGCATACAGAGCTCAAGTATCTGTGGAAAATCTTTTTTAAAAAAATCTAAAGTAACCTGACACCATCTAAATATTGTCATTTCAAGCTTATGTTTTAATAATGATGTGCACAAGTTTATAAAACGTACCTTTCTTTTTGTTACCCACAGTTTTTGTGAACTTTCAATAAAACAAGTTTTTTCAAACCACTTCATCAGTAACGTATCTTCACGTCATAAAATATCTGAAAAATAAGATCCCTCTTCAAAGACGAAGGACTCTCTGAGCAGCATATGAAAAACATTGTACCACAGCACTCCGACCTTCAAAGAGCTCCTGTAGATATCGGTGACAACGGTATAGAAAACATTATTGGAAGGTAAAAATATCTATATTATATCGGAAAGGCAATCTAGTTGCAGTTAGATTGACATTACATTGCACAAATTTTATTATCACGTGTATACCAGGACACAAGAACGCATTTACTCGCTAGTTACAAGAACTTCTGTGACAATAGGAAAGAATTATTTGTCACTAAACATTTAATTGGCCAATAATAGTTGCTATGAGTACACCATTAAATTCAAAGATGGATTTGTTTCTGTTGTACATAGGAGAAACGTTGGCACCAAATACACATACTGCATCTTAGAAGTTCAACTGGTAAGTATTATTTGCTACAATAAATGGAAGGTAACAATTTTGCCACATGGTTTGTTCTCTTTAACGGAAGGGCAAAGGCGAGCCCCCCACCCGGCTTGGCACAAAGACAAGTTAATCCACAAGAGGCCTTCAGCCACTCTTAAAACAATCTCTTGTTCTGACCTTGTCCCCAAATCATCAATAAGCGAGTATCAAATACGGGAGGCTGCATGTGCTGACTGATTCTGCTGCAAGCCCCATGCTTAGGGAGTGGAGTGTCTTGCTTCGCATTCCGACCTCTCTTAGCACTCCCGATGATGCACTTTTTGGTGATGATTTTGCTCTTTTTCCTGTCTTCCTAAATAGAGGGGAATCACAGAGCGGCAGACTGTCCATGCACCTGTCTCCAAGTGTGACCCTAAGGACAGCGCTGGAGCCGGTGCAGGGAGGGGAGCGGGCCCCCTCGGCGTCTCCGGAAGACCAGGGGTCTGCGAGCCGGGGAGAAACACCGGCTCCAGAGGCATGAGCTGCGGTCCCACCGTCTGTGCTCTGGGTGGTCCTGTGCCTGCCCCTCCGTCGCCCGCCTGCCCTGTCTGGCTCCGCCATGCTCACCAGGAATGCCACGAATCCCATGAGGTGAACGGACTCGTGATTCACCTGGCTGGCCGCGCGTGTACGTGGGCGCGTATGTCTACGCACCATTGTCCAAAAAGAGGAGAGTCTTTCTGTCGGTTTTGTTGTATCGATTTACTTCTGTGATAAGACTTACACGCTATATGGGGTTGTGCTTTGTCAGAATTCCCTTTCTTCCCAGAGCAGGCTTTTGAATAACCCGAGACTCAGAATCCTGGCCTGGGCCCCTGTTGCTCGCAGCACGCGGCACCCTCTCGCCTCACCTAAGGCCTCAGCAGCTTTCCCCCCATTCCGGACTCCGCCCCCCACGCCCAGGCTTCTCCCCCCAGCTGTCTGCACTTCCCCGGAGGGGCTGGCGCTCCCCGGCTTCGCTCTCTTTCCCATGTGGTCACCTCCTCCCTACAGGGTGGAAGAGCTTTGCTTGTAGTCCCTCAGGATGACGGAGGCGTAGGTCACGTTGGGAGGGGTGCAGAGCAAGGACTCGGACACGGGGGAGCTGGGCACCGAGCTGCCCGAAGCCACCGAGTCGCGGAAAGGCGACGGAGGCGTCAGGGCCGGCGAATCCTCGGGGGTGGGTTTGCCGGCCGCCTGCAGGGCCTCGTCTTCCTCTTCCAGCTCGTCTTCCTCCGTGTTCCCTTCCCGCTCAGACAGGTACTCCTGGAGGAGTTTAAACCTCTCGCTGTCGTCCGCGTCCTCGTCCTCTGTGGCGGGGGAGGCGCGCTCCTCCCCGGTGGTGCTCCGCTGCAGCGGGAGCATTTGCAGGTGCTGCGGGGGCGCCAGGGGTGGGTACAGGGGCCGCACCCCGTTCCCTGGACCCCCCGGGACTGGGAGCACCGCGTTGAAATCGGGGATCCCGGTGTTGAAATTGTTGCGCACTCCCTGTAGCTGGTCCATCAAGGATTTCTGCTGTTGCGGGTGCGGTTGCTGAGGCTGCGTCTGCTGGAGCGGGGGAGACAAGCCCTTGGGGATGGCCGGGTCGGCCAGGAAGAGGGGGGTCTCCTCTGCGGTCAGGACGGGCAGCAGAGGAGGGGTGCTCCCCGCGGTGGGCATACGTCGGTGCACCAGCATGGAAGGACTGGTGGGAGGGCTGAAGCCGACAGGCCGGGCGTTCTCCTCTTCCACGTTGTAAAGGGTCTTGGTGCTGGTATCTGAAAAAGTCAGGCTCTTGCCGGAGCCTTGGTAATTTTTAGTGAGGGGCTTGATGACGGCTGTTTGGTTGCAGGCCGTCTCGTTGGTCTTCACGTGCACAGAGAGGCGGTGCCACATGTGCTGTCCCTTGGGCACCTGTCTTCCACCTGGTTCAGACCATGACACAGACTTGCCATTAGAACTATGAATAAAATAGAGATGGGTTTATTTGCAGACGTATCATGCACACAGGATGAAATACATATACATCATTTTGCAAGCCCAGCTCTATGCAATTTGACTTGCCCCTCCTGTATACCTGTCCTCCTCACCCCGACAGGTCCTTGTTACAGATTCCATGCCCAAAGCTGCCGTCACCACAGGCTGCCTCTGAAACTGCAGCCGGTGACTCCTTCCACCCCAAGACAAGATGGGAAATTTTGACCCGGAGAAAAGTTGTAGGTGAGAAAAGCCAGCCTGTTGTAGCAACAGCTACTTGCATTTAGGCCTAAAATTTCACACATTTATTACACAATCACACACACACACACACACACATTCTAAGGCAATGATAAAATTGTTGCTCAGGGCAAGCTTTTGAAAAATTCCAAAAGTGATGGAGGAAACAAAGTAAAAATAAAATGTTAGTTACACATGAATAACACAACGTAATGACCATAGTTCTTGCCTTCCTTTGTTCTTAGTCCCTGGAATAAATGAAAGCCCACATGTAAAGCTACTTTCAGTGTCCTGCAGGGTTATCAAATCCATGCTCTCAGTTGCCCATTCTGATCCGCAGGTATTTCCGATGACCAGAGCAGTATATTTGGACATGTGGCAGGAAAAAAAGCAGATGACAAAAAAGCCCAGACCTGTGCTCCATTTAAATGTTTCATAACTTTTGATTTTCTTTTTATTTCAAAGCATTATTTCTGATACATGTCATGGATCCCAATTGGCATCAGGGCCTTGAGTCACAGCAGCTAGCTGGGGATTTTCACACTGGGAACTTTTAACGAGGTGTGTTTGAAAAGAGACAGAATTGGGAAGCCCAGGAAACTACAGATGCCCAGGTCCCGCTGCAGTCCTCAGGCAGAGTTTGATACAAATGAGACAAAATTAAGATTCAGACGAGGCAGAATTTACTGGAACAAAGATCCCTCCCTGGACTTTTTCTCAGTGAGCCTTGGTGAAGAAAAATCCTAAGGTATCAGGAGCCCTCCAACCCTACCAATTTTCATCTTCATGGGGCCCTCATAAAACCAACCAAACAGTATAGAAGAAGAAGAAAAAATAATAAGACATACTCTGTAGCTATACTACACATTCTATGCTGTATGTTGTAATAATCCTGGTCTTACTTTTAGACTTAGCTTATTTTCTGTATAACTTTTAGCAGATAGTGGTACTTTACCATAGCATACTATTAGTAACAACAGTTTTAATACTTAAATCAGTAATTTTTTTCTTCTGTTTTTTTAGGAGTTTGCTTTTTTGCTGCATCCATGAAAACAACAAAGAAAGTAGCACAATAGTAACACATTTGTGACATTAAAAGAAATAAGGAAAATGAACATCTTTTCCTAGATGAATGTATAAAATTGTTCTGTATCATACTCTTGTTTGAAAAAAATGTTAGAAATGATTTATTTAGAAATGGTTTGTTTAATCATTTTGGAAATCCAAGAATGAATACTTCAAAAATGATATGTGAGTGTCACATTTATAATGACAGTAATGTTTTGACATTTCACATTTTATAATTTTGAAAAGCAGAGTGAGCAAAATAAGTACAGGTTCTTATAGAAATTCTGATATCTATTATAGAAAATTCTGAATATAAATGTTCTAAAGTAGATATAGCAGCTAAATTTTGATCTCATAATTTGGAAAAAAATGTAGTTCCTCCATATATCTGACAATCTATACTGTATTTTTAATTGTCTAAGGAAAATCTCATCTTTAAACTACTATATAAAAATTAATATTTCTTTTAAATATATGCTTAATATATTCTCTGAGAGTGTGTAAATATTTGTAAATGCAAAATTACTGACCCATCAGCTTCCACGCTATCTTGTTAGAATATCTAACTCTGAGTTGAGCAAACTGACAAATGCGATGGTAGTGTTTCTAGCAAGAACAGGCAGCCAATCAGCCAGCCATATGCAAGAGCAGAAGCTACAGGTCCTCCTCAGATTTTGAAACTCTAGATAAGCTCGGCTCCCACTTCCATCTTTCTCAATTCCCTCCATTCCCCACTCTACTTACTGTTTCTCTCTTTATATGTTCAACATGTCTCTTCCTGAAAGTATATAACAGCCTGTTTGTCTCTTGCTTTGCTTAACAATGCTTTAGTGTTCCATCCAACTCCATTGACAAGCATCCCATTTCAACTGCAAGGGAAATACTGTTTCCTTCTCCAAATGCCTGCCTCTGAGTGCTCATTAACAAAACCCTTGGTCCGGCCCAGTGGCGTGTTGGTTAGAAGTTAGCTTGGGACGTCAGCTCTGAGCAGCAGGGCCCCGGTTCGGATCCCACATGAGGGCCAGTGACACTGCCCTCTACAGCTAAGATGGTGAAACAGCAGCTTGACTTAGAGCTGGGCTGCCATGAGTCACCGGCGACAGCATAGGCTGCAATGGGGCTGGCCAGCAGCAGGTGTGAGCTTTTGTGAGCTGTCGTGAGCTGCCACGAGCCACTGCCTCATCTGGAAAGAGTGCAATGATAATACCAACATGGGCCAGTGAGGCAAAGTCCTCCACAACTAGACTGAAGAACAAAAGGATAGCAACTTGTCTGTTCCACTCCCCCGATTCCCCAATGCTCTTCCCCTCCCCCAATTCCCCAATAAAATCTTAAAAAAAAGAAAACCCTTAAACTAAAGGCTGCCTTATGTCTTCATTAAGTTGTTGTTGCTGTGTGTGTGTGTGTGTGTGTGTGTTTTAAAAAACAATTGCTTTGAAAACAAAAACACTAATTAAAAAAGATATATGCACCCTTATGTTCATTGCAGCATTACTAGTAATAGCCAAGTTATGGCAACAACCTAGATGTCTATCAAAAGACAAATGGATAAAGAAGATGCGATATACATGAATAATGGAATGTTATTCAGCAATAAAAAAGAATGGAATCTTGCCATTTGCAATAGCATGGATGGACCTAGAGCATACTATACTAAGTGAAATAAGTCAGACAGAAAAAGACAAACATCATATGATATCACTTATATGTGGCATCTAAAAACACAAAACAAATGAATAAACAAAACAAAGGAGAAACAGACACAGAGATATAGAGAACAAAGTGATGGTTGTCAAAGGGGTGGGGGAAAGGGGAATGGGAATTTAAAAAAAAAAGAAAACTTACAAAATAAAGTAAAATAAAATAAGGGCCTTGAGGGAGGGAACTAACTAACTAACTAACTAACTAACTAACTAACTAACTAACTAAACAGCCCTTGAGAGCCAGCCTGCCCCTCTTTCACCCAGAGAGCTTACATATCCCAACAAAATATGGTTCCTGGCTCCCCATATACTAGTAAAATGGGCATCTTTGCATTCCTGGGACTTACTACACTCACTCACTCCCATGGGTTGTTTTCTTCATTGCCCAGGAGTTTGACGTGGGCCTCTTTTTAAATTATGCACTTCCATGTCTTAAAGGTATTATCAATCACCTTGTAGGCAGGTATAATCGTAATTTAGTTCTGTTTTAATGCAATACCATGTTTATTCTTGTGCTGGGAGATTTTTACCCTGTCCATCAAATTTAATAGCTTTGCTTCCCCTCAGAGTCTGGCTCTACATTTGCTGGGAAGCATTGTTTAATTAGGAAACAGCTTTACTGCCCTAGGGCATTTATTTAAGATTAAGAAAATTAGATAAACTCTTTTTTTTTTCAAGGAGAAAATAAATCACTTCCTAAAATCCAGAGGTTGGGAGGAAGTGTATCATCTCATAGAAACTGCAGGGATTAGCTGTTTCTACCCTGTGGTTCATAGATAACTTGAATGGTCCCACAAAGGACATGTTCATTACGCATTGTTTTTAGACTGAATCCATAGTATGTTGTTGCAGGTTAGGCACTGCTCTCTTTATATGCATGCAAATGATATTACGATAGAGTGTGCTGCTAGATCAAAGTGCAACTAAATTCTGAGAAACTTTTTTTGTGTTTTATGATCAAGTGGCCACTGATAAAAGTATAATTGCTATCATAGATTCAGGTAAAGGTTTAATAATCCATTTGGCGTGAAAAGGGATTATCCCATTTGAAAAGGTTAGGAACCCATTGTTGTGATATTAAGAGGAGAAAAATGCATACAATATGGGACAGGAAAAAGGATTAAATGCACTATAAAAATGAAATACCACTATGAAATAAGACTTTTATTTAATCCCAGATAACTTTAGTACCTTGTGCTTCAGCCACCAGCTCTTTCTTTTCATCCTTTAATTTTACTCCATTTTCTAATCTTAGGAAAAGCAACCTGGGCTAGAAATACCACATAATTGTCACAGAGCAGCCCATTCTTCTTGCTCTGACTTCAAAGGACAGATATCGGGCCTCAAGCAACCTTGTATTTGAAGATAAAATGCAGTAGCATCCGAGATAACTACCTTGGGTGGCTAAACGTATTTATTGACATTGAACGTATTAGAGGAAATCCCTGTTAGGCTGGAGATGAAGGAGTGGATGCTATATATTGATAATGCAGAGCCAAGCAGGCCTGGGGTAGCAATTTCAGATACAACAGGCTTGGGGCTTTGCTTGGGATTTTCTTTCATTAGATAAGTATCACAATCCCCCCAAACAGAAAACACAATATTTACAGCATTTTAGAGAAGAGTTGGAAGTGGGTGGTGTAAACAGATTAGTATATCATTGGCATTCAGAGCGATCCTGCCTTATTTGTTTCAGTAAGTACTAGTTACATCTGCAGAGCACACTGCTCTGTGCTCCAGCGAGGTCTAAAACGGGAATGACAGTGGGTGGGTGTTTGAGATCAGGAGGAAAGCATCCTGCACAAGCTGCCCGTGGGGGAAGTTTCCACAACACCTGTCTCCCTTATACCCAATTCAAGTCTTTACCACTAGGCTTAATAGCTTCACAACAGACAGAAAGATGGCATCCAGAGAGCCCACGGACAAGGCAAGACCACACAAGGAGGGAAGGCTCACTCCTTAGAACCGGAGG